ATCTTTTTTAGTTCTTTTATCCTTTTTAGTTTTAAGGAGATTGTAAGGAAAATGCAATATGTTAAGAATTTCTTGAAAAAATTACAAATTATTTTAAATTGCATTTAAAAGTAATACAAAAAAATTAGAGACAGTTGACCATCTGGATCGATAAAAAATTATTTCAATAAAAAGTAATATTAAACAAATTTTCTATTTTTTATTATAAAATAATGATAAAAATTTTAATTTTTTAATATAAATAATTTATAAATTCAAAAATATTTATATAAAGTTACATTGAAATGCAGACATTAATTGTTCAGTAAATAAACAAAATATTTATTTATTATAACTGGTGAATCTCAATGAAACTTTGCATAAGTCATTTTTAGTACTTAAAATATTTATATTTAAAAAATTTAGATTTTCGTTATTTTTAAAATTTTTGTTTATAACAATAAAATTAATATCAAATAAAATAAATAATCTATAAAAATATGTTACTCAATAAAAACAGAATATTAACTTTCGCATATGCAGTTTAAAGCGTAAATATTAACATGTGTGTTTTATGCTTATTTCCTTAAATGAAAGGATAAAGAGTAAATTAAACTTATTAAACCAAAATTAAAGTTAATCTACTTGATAGAAAAATACATTAGACACTTTGATCGAGTATCCAGCATAAAACATCTTAATTAAATTCAATGCAAATCTAAATCAAAATTCAACTCAAAATTAAAATATATGCACATTTTTTCAATAAGAAATGAGTGTTCTTAATTAATACATATTCTTTATTCAATTCTTTATTCTCTCAGTGATAAAAATTCGCAATTTTATTTTTAAGGGTTGAATTTTTAACAATCGAGGGAATCGCATATATATATATATATATATACAAAACATAATATTCAAAGTTCCTTACCATTTTCCATCAACAACTATGTTTGATTTCCGTTTTTTGGCTCTTCAAAAGATAACAACTTGAATATGCCAGAGGCTTTATGGCAAATTGTCAGAAAAGTTATACGTATAATAAACTAGACTATGTACAAGTGCTATATACATTCGATATTCTAATTATTCCAATAAATTTATTAGAAGTTGAAGGAGGAGAAATCTCCATATGATTGCGACGAAACTTTCTTCTTCTTTATCAAAGGCTCTGCGTTCCCGTCCCATTTGTCCAATCTGAAAATCGCGCGGATTAAACGCCGCGTAAATAATTAATTAAAACTAACAAATCTCAGTTCACGACAGAGATCTTACTTCTCCTGCTCCAATTTCACATATTTTCCTATGCCCGATCGGTAGACCTTCTGAGTGTCATTCTTGTCCTTTTTGTCGGCTGGTTTGTTCTGACTCGCTTCTTGAGCCAATCGTTCCGCCTCGGCAATTCGTTCCGCGGCGAGCTGATCATCCGCTTCCTGAAAGGGATCCACGAAAACATGGACACCCTGTACAACTATATCCTCTATCGGTCGGTCCTTATTGTCTACCTCCACCTTCTCCATTGCATTTAATGTGTCCAGACCTCCTACGATCTTCCCAAAGACTGTGTGTTTGCGATCGAGGTGTCGGCACGATCTAAATGTGATGAAACTGAAACGACAATAATAGTACATTAATAAAATAACAAGATTGCAAAATGCAAGTCCTTTGTTTTATCTTTGTGTTTGATCTTACAATTGGGATCCGTTGGTGTTTGGCCCTGAGTTTGCCATGGACAGAATACCTCTGCCTTGATGAATCAGATTCGACTTGAACTCATCCTCGAACGGTTTGCCCCAAATAGATTTGCCGCCGTTACCTGTATTGGTTGGATCACCGCCCTGAATCTGTGGGAAAACGAAATATCTGCATGAAATAAAGAAGTTAAAATAGAAAAATAAAAAGAACATGCAAAATACAATTTTCGAAATGCACTCAAGTTAAAAGGCTCATCGTCGCGCTCAATATACTTACCATAAAATTTCGTATTGACCTATGAAACTTTGTGCCGTCGTAATAACCATTCTGACAGTGTTTCATGAAGTTTTCACAGGTTTTCGGAACCAGATCACAATGAAGTTCCAGATTCAAAGCCCCAAAGTTCGTGAGGAATCTTACATATCCTGAATAAAAAACAGATAAATGAGAATAAGAATTATATACTCAATCAACTCAATTGCGATAACATACCTTTCTTTTTGACTCTCTCATATCGCACTAAATCTTCCGCAATCACAGCTGCCTCATGGGTAGTCTCTGCCGGCATTATGGTTGAAGTAAATCCTGCAGCAACCGCACCAGTGGAATAATGCGCCTGCATACAAATAAATAACAAAATTTCTTCTCCAATATTCGATATAATGACTACATTCAGCAGGAAAAGCAGCTTTGTAATTATTATAAAATTCTTTAATATGATTGTGAATCTTGCCCTAAGTTCCTCACTGGATCTAAATGTATAAACCATTCATATTAAAGAATTTGACAACAGCTGCAATGCCGTTTTTTCTGCTAAGAGCAGCCAATATAAGTTTCTTGTGAATGATATACCAACAGCGTTAAATTTGTCAGCCTTCTGCATAGAGAGCTCATCTTTTTCGTTACTCTTTGCCGGCTTGTAGTCTCTCTCCAATTCAACCAGGATCTCCTTGGTTTCTGCCGATACAGTTTTTAATTTTGCATTTGGATTATTTCTCTCTCTCACTGTCTCTGAAAAATATCATTCATACATATATAACTTACAAAAATAGAACATATGTTAATTACTGTAAAACTCATTTCTGTTGAACTGAATCTGTTGAATAAGAAGCCTACCTTCGTCTTCCACTCTTATATTATTTTTAATATGATGGAAAGTCGACAGATTGAATTTCATTGCGTTATTTGGATCCTGAATTGTGATAATGTCCTTGCGAGTGAATGGCTGATCGTTTATCAAATCTTTCCAATTCCCAGTTTTTATGTTCAACTGTTCAACAGCCTGAAAAAATAATTCTTTTATATACAAAAATATTAGATTAGATTAAAAAAAAAACAAAATAGCCTCTAAAGTGAAATAAAAAATAGAAATATTATACTTTATATACTCACCTCATAGGAAAATACATTTCCTGTAGTTTTAATAGCAACAATATGCGAATGTTTCGTAAACAATTTGAAAAGAACAGGGCAATGATATTCATTTTGGGAATTCTTATAAAAGTTCAGTTTGATTAGGCTCTTGACATCCAGTGGTTTTCCTGTTATGGGATTATGCTTGTACTGTTTTATGTATTGCAAAATAGCCTCTAGCTCAAACACGTTGCCATGCAGGTCGCAATAAGGGTGCTCAAAGGGCTGAAGAGATAAGCAACAATGATCATATGGCAACCGCCTAAACGTCTTCTCCTCGCTTGTTTCCAGATTCGTTCCCGATTTTCTTCCACCGTACAACGTCGACCACTCCGTGTACGTTAAGTACCTGAAGGAATTTGGAAGTTTGTCAAATGATTGAAAGCAAAAGTGAGATACCTTGTTATAGTTAGGCTGCAAGATTGTATGAAAAACAATAATGCAACTTACATCTTATCCTTCTGATGTTGGCGTTTCCCCATTTTGAAGTAACTTTACAGCTGTTTTATTTAAGAAAATTTCGCAGTAATATGAAATAAATTACGATCAATTACGAATAAACTGAACAAACGTCTCGTAAACTTGAATTCACGATACTTATTGCCTATTCTGTTCGTCCATGGAATAGTTGGCATATACAGATATACAAGTCTCGCCGAGATTTTAGACCCTCAACGAATTGGTCAAATTGAAAAAACATGGCGAAATCGACCGCGACATTTAAAGATGCAAAAGATTTAAAGTATTTAATCGCTTATGACGTTTTCTATCGTATTGATGTATTAAAATATTTCAATTAAAAAAAATGTAAATAAATGCTCGTTCTGAAAAAATATCTTTCTAAACCGCTTCAATATTATATTTTTAATTTAATATTATTTTTATATTTTTAATAACAGATAAATTTCACAACAAAATGAATCCTATTGAAACTATTAAAGACGTGTACAAAATAAACAAAATGCTGTCGTAATTTTTGCTTTAACACGAAAATCAATACATTTGTATTTTAATATTACATATCACAATATTATATATCATATTAGGGTTAAAATTTTGTAAATTCTCTGGGAATTACAGGCTTTTCCAGGTATCTTTATTCAAGAGAAAATCAGAGAATTTTTTAACACAATTTTGAAGTAAATTGGAGTACAAATAATGCAAATAAATTACATATTTTAGAATTAAGCATAGATTTCTATTAATATTAATAAATTGAAAATTAAGATAACGAAGTTAATTTGCATATTTTCGAGATATAGAAATGGAAATTATAATGGAAAAAAATTATATAATCTCAATATTACATTAAAGTTAACTATAAATGTTTAGATAATTTTTTAATAAAATATAAAATTTTTAATTGCTTTATTTCTTTAAATAAAATAAAGCAAAAAAATTAGATAAAAAACATTTTCCAAAATATAAATACAGTACTTACTAAAAATTAAGCCATTACTCCGTATGCTTTATGAAAAATAAAAAAAAACAATCACAGAGATGTTATAAAATAAGAAAATAAATATAACAATCTTTAAAATTCTCTTATAAACTAATACTTTTCAGTTTCTCCAACAATTGTATGTTGACGTAAATTTTTTGTATTTGTAATAATACATCTAATCATTTAATGCTCAAAGAAATATGAATTTATCAAGATTTATAAAAAATAAAATAAATTTTTCTTATAAAACAAATTCCTTCATAATTGACTAGCTATCATGAAAACACATTGTAATGATAAACTCTATTACCCAAGTAGAACACTTAAAATATTTTAGAATATTTTTTTAAGAAAATATGGAAATTTTTTAGATTCACTACTGTATTTGATTAGATCTTTGGAACTGAAACTAAAGCCTAGATATAAAGAACTAAAATTTTGATCGCGAATTGTTATCGTACAAAAAGTATTAAGAGCAATAATAAAAAATATTATTGAGATTTCCTCGTTGAATTAACAAGTACTGTTTTAATATCTCTACTCTTTCTTTTTGTATTGTGTTATTTTTTTCTATAGCTTCTCTTAACTTTCTTAATTCCTTAATTCGTTCTTCTTCTATTTCCATATATCTTTTTCTATAATTATCTATAGGCTTATTTCTCTTTCTAAAGTTTTTATTTTGTACATTTTTTTCAAAAACATTTGATATACTAATAGTTGAACTAGTAGATGTGACCGATAAAATATTTTCGATTTCTTGATCACTTAAATTCTTAGAAAGAATAGCATTTTCAAATCTAGCAATCTTTTCGATTTCATTCTGGTTATCATTATCATTATTATTATCATCATCATTATCATTATTCAAAAATACAGCTGATGCCATTGCTAAGTTTGGGTTTACTGTCCTATCATCAAAAACAATTTCGGACATAATGTCAAAATAAATCCAAGACATTCTACCAGACCTTGACATTTTCTTTTTATCACTATTCTTTATAATTAAATATCTCATCTTCAAATTCCTAAACTTTTTGTTTATCGCATCTGCCTTAACTTTATACCCATATTTTGTCATCTCGTCAGATATTTCTTGCCAAAGCTGCTTTTTCTTGTTTTCAGGATTTCTAAAGCGTTCGGCCCTTTTTTTGTACTCTTCCAGCATTAAAAAGACAGCTTTTTCATTCCAGGAAAAATGATCTAGAAAAATTGTTTTGGAGTATGTATTTTTTAGATAATATTATAGAAAGAGGTAATAAATAGAATTAGAACGAAAATTTTAAATAATAATATATATATTATTACTTTTATCATTTATTTCAATGGAAGCATAATGTTTATTGATAGCGTTTCCCATTTCTCCTAATGCATTATATGGTTGTACTATTCTCTGATTCTCAATTGGAACATGTATACATCCATCATCTGTAGAATTTAAATAAAAAAAAATACAGAAATATATATACAATTAATAAGGAGCATACAGCTACAGCACAAGTTGTTTAAGTGAAAGTCATATATTTAAAATTATAATAACAAATAAGTAGACGTTTCGGTCAAGATTTGACTATCATCAGTACAATAAAAAAGTGAAACACACAATAGTTTTACTAATTGGTTTCCAAGACTTGTGTTAATTGACAATAGAGACTCTGTATTATTTTTATTAGGATTTTCATCGATAAATACGTGGTAAGCGTTTTCGAATATTATTTTAATCCGTTTCTTATTATCTACATTTATTAAGACAGTTAGATTAATTAATTTGGTTTTTTTGCCTATTTTCAAATAAAATCTGGAAATTACGTATTTCACTCTCGAAACCTCACATACTTTCAAGTTAAAAATAATTGTATATTGGAATAGAATTTTGTTACATAAGCGATTGCAATCTTGGCATCTTAATTTTTGGATTTAATTTGTCAACTTATTCATAAGCGAATGGAAATTGTTAACATCAAATTCTAACTTGCGGTTTATTGTTAACATTTTGGGAAAAATTTCTGTAACATCGTTTCACTTTTTTATTGTACTGATAATGGTCAAATCTTGACCGAAACGTCTATTTATTTGTTATTATAATTTTAAATATATGACTTTCACTTAAACAACTTGTGCTGTGGCTATATGCTCCTTATTATTTGTATTTGTATTTTTAAACCACCTTTAAGAGTTTAAAAATAAACAGAAATATATGCTTTTCACATGATACACCACTATCATTAGAAATAATAAGTAATACTTGATATTAATATAAAATTGTTATTAACAATGTATCAATTTCTATCTTCTACATGACATTTGATGTTTTTGAAATTTTCATTTTAGTAAAATCTAATAAAATATTAACAATGAGCGCGATCAAGTTGATAAAACAGCTATATTATATGCTGAATGGTTAAACACAATAGTTCTTATTTATAGATTAATCAATTCAACCGCTCTGTGAACAGTCGGTTGATTGTGTATTTTGAAATGAAGTGAAAACTAGTGAAATTTACAAGTCAAATGTATTAAGAATGTTGACCAATGAAATAATAAATATTCTAGTGAATTAGCTCATTTTTGTTATTTTAATCTTATTTCGAGATACAATAACTTCATGGCTAGTCGCTTTGTCTGCTTTGTTCTTAGTTTCTAAATGGAACTAAATATAGAAACTAATCGTACTAAAGAATCTTCAGCCTGTATCAGACTAGAAATTGAGATTGAGATTAAATTTGACCTTTCTTCTTCTTATTTAATTAGTGGCTCTCGCCTCCAGACTATGTAATAGGAGGTCGATATAGCCAGATCACGTCACAAAAATGATGTCTATGAAACGGAATTGTATCCGAATTAATGGAGAAGACGTAATACTACGAGTTGCGAAATGGAGCGCCAATAACGGAGCATACTGCTCCGAGAAAGAAACCTAATAAATTTGATCAATTAAAACAAATTTTACTAAACTTAATATTTTTCTTTCTTCTGGATGGTTAAATTTCAATTCAATCTCAATTTCAATTTATAGTTTGATATAGGGTTAAGATTCTTTAGTTTACGATTAGTTTCTATATTTAGATCCATTTAGAAATTTGAGTTGTTTAAGTTTTCTGTGCTGAATGCCAGTTATGAACTGAATGATTCTAAATCTGAGACCTATTATTAAACATGTAATTAATGTAATTAAAATAATTTAACTTATCTAAACATGTAATTAATTTTATTTTATTAATAGACACAAAATTAATTTCAGGAAACTAAAATAGCTTCATTTAAGAGAGAATGAACACTAAGTTTAGTTATCTATTAACAATATAATTGAATAAATCCACAATCAGTTCTATAGAAAAAGTGGAGTCTTTTCCTTAACGAGTTATCTAATACGATCAACACTGGACTGGAAATTGAACCCTTAGTTTTTAAAAGGTTAAAAACAAATACATATAACCCAACAATGTTAAACAACTAAGAGACAAAGCAGCTAGCAATTTGTATCATTCAATACAATTCCTCCTCATTATCAAACAAGTTAATTGCTTCTTCGGTTGTAATATGTTCAGTGTCTTTATCTAATTCAACATTATGCATTTTCCTTCGAAGCGTTCGTTCACAGGGAAAAGGAATATGTTGCTCTAGAATCTGCTGGTATCCAACACTGCCACATGCACGTCTTAACTGAATAGCTCGTTTAACTGTGTCGTCAGACCATTCTCGGCAGCTCATTTTTGGATTGGTGAGAACCCTAATCTGATCTTCATTGAAGACTTCTCCTAATCTACCTCTTAACTTGTTGTAAATTTGATTTTCTTGCCTCAATTTCTTCAAACGTTTCTCTGATCTTATCTTGTATAGGTAACTCTTTCTTATTATCTTGTTAAACAACTCTTCGCGTTTTTTCATAGCGTCTTGAAGTTGCTCACACTTACTTTTGCTCTTTGCCAATAGCTGCTTCAATTCCTGGCATCGTTCTTTCCAGTCTATCTCTTCCTGAACGTTCGTAAACATACTTAAAAGATCTTCTGGTTGTTTATCGTTTAATTGCTTAATATTGTCCGAATGTAATTGATACTGATAATTTATTTTAACATTTCCTTCATTTGTCATGCTTGCAATAAGCATGTTTACGACATTGTTGTTCATGTTATAATTTTCTGATAAAACATCTTGCAGCACAGGAACATCTTGTGGCACAGAAACATCTTGTGGCACAGAAACATCTAGTGGCACAGAAACATTTTGTGGTACAGAAACATCTTGTGGCATAGAAACATCTTGTGGCACAGAAATATCTTGTGGCACAGATACAGTGTGCAGCACAGAAGGAGAAATTACAGGTACAGCATTATATTTTAATTTGCGTTTGCCATCACAACGATCTTTCTCCCACATATCTTTGGTGAAATGTATCTGTTTACAAATAGATAGACTCGTTAATTATTCTACAAACAATAACAATAAAAATTCAAATAAATCATACCTCACATATTCGACTGTGCGTACTAGGTGTCCAATTCGGTCTACCAATACTGGCGATCCACTGTTTTTTCCGATCAGGATTTGAAGGAAAGTTTCTCATCAAAAATCCCTTTCTATTCGAATTGTTGCAACCGGGGACGCAACAACCCGTCATCCCGTGTGAAATCAATCCAGAAAATGATAATTTTCTGGTATAACGAGACCTTCGATATTATCAATTTGTCGGATTTTTTGAGATTTGATATCAATCAAACTTACTTATGTTGTAATTATCCGCTACTTTTGTAGCATGATGCAAGTAAACAAGTGTGCTATGCTTGAATCTGCTCGTAACTGAACACAACTAAAGCAAGAAGTTTGCGCATAGCAACGCATTGACCTTATTTTCCGCCATTTTAAAACAATATTTAAACTATATGACTCGCGCGCTTGGCATAAAATTTGAAATGATTACAAATAATCAAGTTCTAATATAAATAAAGTGAATTAAATAAGTAATAAGTAACGAATTAAATAAGTGATAAGTAATTACATATAGAATATTGATTATTTAATACGCATGAAACTGAGGTTTACTGTCATAGCAGGTGTATTGAAACCAATTCGCCTGAAAATGGTGGACTAAAAGGTCAAGTTCTGATTGGCTGCAGTAATTAAACATACGCAAGCATGGGCAGCTAAGTAGCAATCGGTGATTGGTTGGATCAAAAGATAAGAACCAATCATCTCTGATTAGATCTGTTCGTGTTGCTTGCACTTTTTACACTCGGCTTCTTCACTTTCTACACAGGTCTGTTCGTTTTGCTAAACTTGAACTTGCAAGAAGTTAAGCTAAAAAGAATAGACCTTTAGGTCCGTTTCCACCAACGCAGATCAACTTTAATCTCGGTTCAACTTACTCTTTGTCTTTTTCTAGTTCTAAAGATTAGAAAAAGACGAAGAGTAAGTTGAACCGAGATTAAAGTTAATCTATATTGGTGGAAATGGGCATTAGATGATCTAGCTATAGTGTTGATAACCATACACGTACGATAATTTTACTTATACATACGATGTACGATAGCACTTCATTATCGTACGCCTAAAATACGATAGTTTTGTATTTCTGACTTATTACTCTTCTCTCTTAATTTTATATACATATTACCAACAGAGTAGGCATTGAAGAAGACGATGAATTAAATGACTTCGATGATATCGTTATTATTTATTAAAAATCATAGAAATTAAGTATGAATTTTAAATATTATTTGTTCTTTGAAGTCTGTTCGTTTATAATTTGCGAGTTATATATTGTTTAGTCTTATCAAAGATTTATCGTTCTAATCACGTGGCTTAATCTGTGAAGTGAAATGACTATATAATTAATGCTACTACGATAAATACGAAAAAATATACATATATATACTACATACATAAAAAAATTGTGATATTGACAATACAAGTGAACTTACTGTCTACTGTCAATGTAAAAAGCCACATTTGTACCGTTTCTTTCTTTTAAAATAATTGTTTTAAATGTACTGATAATAATCACTTTCCAATTTGTATTTTTAACCTGGATATTATAGAAATACAATTTATTCTATAGAATGTTTGAGCTCTTGAAATTAATAAAAAATATCGGTTATTGTTTCAATCATCGTGTATTAAGGGGCTTCTAAAGTGCTGAATGGGTAATTTCAGCGAAATCAGTTGAGAATTGATTGAGAAATTTCTGATCTATTTCGGAAGCTGATTTTAGTCTAAGTCACTTCAACTTTAAGTAATAAATAAAACTGTTATTTCTGACCGTCTTAATTAGGGATTACAATTTTACATATTTTGTATTTAAATTTTGTTCGCGCGCGCGCGCGCGCGATGTATGTATGTACGATAATTCTGGATTAGGTACGATCGGCCACTATTTCTAGATTACCAACACTGAACACTGTTTAGCTAGGTTATGGGAATTTAAACATATTTACTTCGGCAGTGCATATATCAAAATTGGAAGATGTCGAAAGTAATGGGAAAAGTGAAAAGAATAGGGAAGGTGGGCAAGAAGCTGGTCGAGAAAATCGATCACTCGTCAAAACTGCGCGTGAATATTCCCGCGGGAATGGCGTCAGCCGCGCCGCCACTTGGTTCCCAGCTCGGTCAGGTTAGGATCACGCTGAACTTCAATAGAATGTATTTGATTTCTTTGTACTCTCTTTCTCTCTTAATTTCTTTGTTGTAGAAATTTATTGTCATCTCCTGAATTCTAATTCTAATCTTTCTTCTGACAGTAATCATGCTAGATTTGCAAGATCTAGGTACTCGTCTTCAACAGCGTTTAATGTGGGTGGATGATTTTGATTCCAGAGGAACATCAACATCGACAAATTCTGCAAGGATTTCAACAATAAGACAGTCGATATCAAGGAGGGCATTCCTTTACCATGTCGCGTGAAAGTGAACTCAGACAGATCATATAATCTAGTGATCCATAAACCACCGACAACATACTACTTGAAACAGGCTGCTGGGATACAGAAAGGAAGAATAAAGAAGGGTACGAGTTAATACTAATCCTTCCTGTCAACTTGATAAACTTAAATTCTCAGTCATAGTTGCTACCTTTTTATTAGTGTTCCACTGGAGATTGACTATCGAAATATTGCCAAAACTTCAATTTTCTTGTAGCATTTTCTAAAAATGAAAAAGAGCATTATCAGATTTAATCCTTGTGGCAAAGATTAATTGCTATTATCAAAATTTCTAGTTTATAATATATTCTCTAAAAAAAAATGGTTAAATTCGACTCTTTCCAGAAAATTTAAGATTTTGAATAATTAACTACAGATTTGGTCAAAAAACCAGTCTTCAGTTAAAAATCAAAGAGGTGACAATTGTGTTGGTCCCTAATTTATTATTTTGCCCTTAAAGTGTAAAATAATTGTAGTCTCTTGATATTTCAATGGAGAAAGTGCAAAGATAATATAACATAAATACTTGAGAAGATAATAAAAGATTCATGAATATCTTTTTGTAGGTGAAGTAGCTGGCAAGATAACTTTCAAACATTTATACGAGATTGCCAAAATTAAGCTGGAGGATCCACCCAATGCATTGTTGAATTTAGAACAAATGTGTCAAATGATTGTCGGCATTGCTCGTACATGTGGCATCGAGATCGTGCGTGAAATAGATCCAGAAGAGTATAGTCAGTTTCTGAAGGATAGAGAAGCGACAGTCTTGCAGTATCGTGAGCAGCTTCAATTAGCCAAAGAAAGCAAAGTTCTTAGAACAAACTAATTTCTAACTAAAATATCTTTGTTTCTATTGTAATTACATATGTATATAATAAATTCTTTCAACAACCATTTATTTATTACAAAAAAATATTTAAATTTGTTATATCTTTCTGCAACTTTAATGACTAATTAAAAGGTAAACTGATGTAAAAGAGAGTGTGTAAAATACACATTTTTTATAAATTACTATGTACAAAATTTGAATTGCTTACATCGGTAAAAAAAAATACATATCTTTACTTTTCTTGGGAGGAAAAAAAAATTAAAAAATAGACATTTACAAGAAGCGTATCCAATTGATAGACTAAAGATAAGCTTAAAGAGGATAAAAATCCTTTGTCCATAGAGAATTAACCGAGTCGTTTAGGTTGAAGTGTATCAGGCCCAGGTACATATAGTAAAATGATAATTTAAGAAGCATCCAGCGTTCTGCTAACGACACCCAGCACTTATCCCAAGCACTCGAGCATTGCCGAAGCTTCTCGCCGTATACAGAACGCACACAACACTTGGACATTTCCATTATGGCCGTCATCCTGGATTGAGTGTGCAGCGAATACTCGATAGAGCGCATGAGATCGTTGGTTTTAAGAATCAGCAGCATTTGCCGGTTGACACGGTCCAGCACATTGCTGATCTGCGGCAGCAAGTTTGGGACATTCTGCTGAAACATCTCTTTCTCGCTGATGTTGTAACGAGTTTTACGCACGCCTGACATAATCGTTTCCCAAGTCCTGCCCGACACCATAACTGACAGCAGACCGTAGTAATCCTCAACGCCGAGATGACCGCAGTATTTCTTCATAGCCACCCGATCGCTGTCGAGGATCGCTAGCCATAGCTTCGAATAGTCCCAGCGGAATTGATTGGACAGATCCGCGTAGAGGCCGTGATCCAGCAGAATGATTTCCGCCTCGGAATCGCGATTGCGCACCAGGATGTTACCGGGATGCGGATCCGAGTGAACGAAACCTTCAATGAAAATCATGTGGCTATACAGACGACCAAGCTTGCTGGTGATCTCATATGGATTCAGCTGATGGGCACGCATGTACTCCAGGTCATTCACCTGTCCGCCCTCCAGGAATTCCATTGTGAGCACACGGGATGACGACAAGTCCCAATATATTTTTGGCACTTTTAGCCAATTATAGTTCTTGAAAAGCCTCTGTACCTTCTCGGCATTTTCGCCCTCCAGAGTAAAATTCAACTCCTGAGGGATGTTCCTCTTTGTCTCTTTGACTAGCCAGTCGAACTTGAAATCCGGAAATATCAGTGACGTAATGCTCACCAAAGTCGACATGGTCTTAATGTCAATATAAGAGTTGCTCTTGACTGCCCGATGCTGTACCTTCACGGCCACCACATCGCCGTTTTTCAGCACGGCTCTGTGCACTTGTGCGAGACTAGCAGTACCCAGGGGTTCCGGGTCAATGCTTTGAAATATCTCGTACGGAGACCTCTTAAAATCCTCCTTAATAACGGTAAGTACGTCATTGAACGAGGACTGAGGTGCCGCACTATGCAGTACACGCATGGTGTGTACATATTCCTGGGGCAACAGATAGTCCAGTGCACCCACATGCTGACCTACCTTGATGTACACCCCTTTATTGGTGCAACAAAGCTCTAGGAGTTTCTGCGCCCCGTACTTGTGAGCATTTGATTTCAGCTGCAAGTACTCCGGTGATGTTTTATCCAATTTACTGTCATATAATTCTCTCTTATAATAACGGCCTATATCAAGCACTGTCAGTGCAGCACGGCCTAAGCGTACAATACCAATGGCACTGATATCATACTCATTTGTTCTAAGAGATGCCAGGGTACCCAGCCCGACTGTTCCAATAGCAACGGCTTTGAACAGCCTTCTGGATGTAAACATTGTCATTTAGTTGGCAGGTCCTTTTAACCGAGAAAAATACAACGAATTGTAAAATATATTTTCTCTTAAAATACTTTAGAAATATTACATAATTAGTAAAACATATATATATAATTATAAAATTGCACTATATAACCTACTAAAGTAATGATTAAAAATCCTCATAAATTCGCGTGATACGAGAGTATTCCGTGGCATCGAATCCAACAAACTGAGGAGTAGTGAGGAGTATGAATCTTAGAAAGCGGTTAAACTAACCTCATTTGTATTCTACATATCTCCCAGAACGGATCTTGTCAACAATTCTGTGCCAATTTTATGTGCACTTTCAGTCAAGGTTATAAACACACGAAACTTTTACAAACGGTCGCTAAATAGTTAGATCAATTTCGATCTATCGGTTTTCAATTCAACCACGTGGACGAGACGTGTCACTAGAGGTGCATAAGGTGTATTCCATTTCACGCATGATGTGTTTAATGCATTATTTATCCTTATTTAACATTCGGTGAACAAGAATAAATAATGCATCACATGCGTGAAATGAATGTACTCTAGAAATTAGATGAATTAGATTGTCATAGATGACCGTAGATAATCATAGATTACCTCCAACGAAGATATTCTTGAAAGCAATATGAATAAATCATATAACTTTCCCGTAGAAATTATGCCATGCTGGCTATTATACATGATGAGAATTTTAACAAGTCATGTTTTTCTTCTTAAATAAAATAAAATTCTTGTGTATAGATCTATGTTATTTGTGAATGAATGTTTTGAAGTCGTTTCACATAAAATACATTATATAAATATCTTGTAAAATGCTTAATATTTTATTTTGGGGTATACGATTTAAATATTTATTGAAATATATTTCACCTAGAGAAAAAAATCTAATATAAACATATTTGAAAAAAATTGAGTAATGTCATTAAGTTTTATTGAAAATCTTAAAGAATATATTACAAAATGCCATTTCATATATAAATACAATGAGAATAATAAAATAATAACGTATAGTTACATATATAATGTACACAATTGCACATAATTACATATCGTTTTCTGTATTTCATTTAATCCAATTATTGGTACAGTTTCGTCTCCATATTAATATAACAAATAACTAGGAGTTTTATCAAAGGAATCATAGAGGCAACAACATAGAATGCATGTATAAATATACAGTTTCTTTGGAAGCATGATATCCGATTTCTACAAGTAAAATTGGAAATCTACCGGCTAGAAGAAGAAGAAATATACAGTTTCCAAAAATGTAGAAACTCTGTAATAATTTTTATAAAAATAAAGATGTTGGAAAATTTCGAAACACGTGTTTTGATATTCCAAAAAAGCCACTTTTTAATATGTATGTATGCTTATTAACCATCACCCATAGGTACGTGAGGACGGGAGAGATGATCGTGGGTAATGCCAAGTAATGCTAAATGCATGAAATTTTCACTTTTAACTGTTATTTTGGATCGTTAGTAGAGGCTTAAAATTGTCAGCATCTTGATCGCCATCAAAAAGCCTTTCAAATAAGCCTCCATGACTCCTAATGCTATTTAAAATTTTCATCACCTCTTCCGCCCTCGCGCACCTAGGAGAGGTGATTAATCAGCACTCGTACAAAAGATAGCTTTTTTTGAAATATTGGAGCATGTTTTTCACCGTTTTCTAGTATTCTCTTTTTTTTTACAAAAATTATTACAGAATTTTCACATCCTTGGGAAACCCTGTACATGCGTACAAATATGTTAACAGGAAACTTAATTATAATGAAAAAATAACGGCAAAATACAAATGGGCGTTAGGAGTCGGCGCTGGATATTATATTGCGCAATGCTAACTAATACCTATTAACATGTCACAAATTCAATTTTGTATACGTATTATACGTTCAGACATACCAATGATGGCTCGGAAGCAGGCCAAAACGTTTATGCGTAACTAATTTATACTATATTTCGACAATAAACGATTTTTATTTTCGCACTAACAACTGCGTAAAAAACTCTCATTAGTCCTTATTTGTTCTTTGTTTTTTGATATTCTCGAAAGTTTGTTTCCCTGTTTTATCAATTTTGTATGTTTCGGCTCACTATTTGAGCCATCCTCAGCAATAAAAAATTACCACTTATCGCACTAAAAAATCTGTCGAACTGCGTCTCGCACACATTCGTAGTTCCGACCTACAATAATGCAGTCGCAGTGGAAATGTGGTGAGAGACAATCATCTTCAATATAGTCTAATGTTGTGCCAACCAGTTACTTAGCTGAATGGAGCAGATAATGGAACTCAAGCTCATCTCCAACAACGATCGCATACGGATCCAAGCATCGTCAATCCATTACAATTTTAAAAATCACGATGTCAAAGTTAGATTGAAAAATAATTTAAGTAAAAGAGAGTCATGTTCGTTCTAATACCCGTTGAAAACCAATATAATATCCTGCACTGATTCCTAACGCCATTTGTATTTTGCTATTATTTTTTCATTGTATTAATTTAAGGAGTCTTGCTGCAAATGCTTTGAGGTTTGATGGATCAATTAAAAGAAATAATTTTACAAATTGACCAATTAAAAAATGCTTCAAAGCGTTTGTGGCGTTGCGTTGACCGTACCCTATTTGCCATTTCTGGTTATAACGATATATATGTATAATACAGAGAGTAAATTAACCATCCTTCACACTATTTACATTCTGTACATTCTAGTCTCCAGTATGATCAGCATTTTTAAAACATATTATTTCCTGCAGCCTGTTGCATTAAAAGTTTCTATAAAAAAATCGTATTTTGATTAATATCGAACGAGAAATAATACTTCTTTCTTAAAAAAAAATGTATGTCAATGCAACATTCTCTTTACCTTGATTGGCGGGAGAGCGTCTACTAATTGCAAGCCCAGACTTCTACCAAGAACAATGGGTGCCGCGGTGTGTTGATAGAACCGATGAAGTCCATCGATGGCGAGCATCATCGGTACATTGTGACGTTGCCTCAGCGTCTCGTATGTCCGCAAATAGAACATATCATTGAGATGACTGCCATTCACATTTGCCTCGGCGAGGATTTGCGTCAGCTCTGCTACGTCGCCGAAACCTAGATTCACACCTTGACCTGCCAAAGGATGGACTCGATGTGCAGCATCCCTTGAAAAAAATATATATATAGCGTAGAATATTTAAAAAATAATCTATACATAATGGAAATCTCAATATAAAAATTTCAGTTTGAAGAATTATACAGTTGAACAAAATTTTCTTCGTGACAAAATTTTCTTACCCAACCAACACCGCGCCTGACTGAACATAAGACGAGGCATGACCGAAACCTAAGGGAAATGCTGCCCGCGATCCCTCGACAACTGCCTCCACGGAGGGTGGCATTTGCCTGGATACATTGGTCTTTAAAGCAAGTCTTGTAAGCAACCAGTGGAATCCGTGCATCCCGCTCTCGACAATGCTGCTCTTCGGATAAATTCGCCACAGCGCCTCATTTATTTTGTCGACAAATTCTTCCTCCGAGATTTTCAATAGTTCCTTTGCTTTCTCTTTCGTTACGGACCATACGAGTGAACTGAGAGAATCTGTCAACTATTAGAGAACAGTAATATATAAATATATATAAAATTTACTTTATTGCAAAACTCTATGAAAAGACTATGTTAACAGAGTAATACATAAAAGATACAATAGACTATAGCAGCTTACAAATGGTGTCAGCAAAACTGCTGTTACAAAGTCTATCAGCAACAAAAAAACCAGGATTAAGACAAAGATGCAATGAATGGCGAAGCAATACATAGTTACAATCATGTACACACACCCGTTACATCAGTCCCGCTTAAAAACTATGAGTGATCCGATAAAGCGTGAGGCAGTGGAACAAAAGGAGGACAGAGAGGGAGAAATTTTTATTGATACAGGAAGAGAATTGAAATATTTGACTAAGGTGTAGGAGAAAGCGGCACGGAATTTAGTGGAACGATGTATGAGGAAGGATAAGTAATCTTGATATCTGGTGACAAGGGGGTTAATAATGGAATGAAGCTCAGAATTCAACTAAAGGAGGCGTCGCAGATATAGAGGAGTACTGGAGCAAAGGAGAGAGAATACGAGACAGCACAGGTGGAGTATAAAACGTTGCCACATCCTAAGTTAGACAGATCTCTGATAATATGGAGATATATGATCATATTTAAGGAGACGCAATAGGAGAAGCAGAGGCAAGAATTTTGGATACGCTGTACAAGATTTAGTAGTTAGATTAAGAGTTAGAATGTAGACGACATCGGCGTAAGCAAATAAAGAAATAACGAGTAATTGAGAAGTGAGAAGTTTTTGAGAGCACACAGAAAGGATGTAGCGAAGGGGATAAAGAAAACGTAGACAGGCGTAAGTGGCCCGACACTTGACAGCCACGTGTAACTCGAATGTCCATGAAGAGTCAACATAGACACCAAGAATCTTAATAGAGGAGGAGCGAGGAATTGGAACGGAGTTAGGAGTAATATCGAAGGATTGAATACGGGATAATAATGTTGAAGAACTGACATTAGCAAGGATGATTTAAAAGGATTTAGATACAGCACATTATTAGTGGATCATTCGGCAATAGATTTTAGATCTTTATTTAAAGCAGAACACGCTGCTCCAGCATCAAGTGTGTGAAAGGATTTGAGAAAAATTACGTCATTTGCATACATAAAGAGCTCGGAGGACAGAGAAACATTAGACAAATCAGAGACAAAAATACTAAAAAGTAAAGGACCTAGAACCCTAGGGTATACTAGAGAAAACGGCATGAGGAGAAAAAAGGAAAAGGATTATATATGAGGACTTACTGCGTGAGGTTTGTAAGGAACGAGCAGATTAGCAGATTAGCAAAAATAGTAATATAGAATGATGTTGAATCGGTCTATTAATTTTCTTTTTGTTCTCAAATTCGTTCGATTAAATTAAATTATTTAAAATGTCTGACTTGATATGTCAAATATTGCATATATTTATTTTCTAAATCTATTAATTATTCTTGAAATTATTCTTGAATGACAAACATAACACGGAATAATGTTACATTTCATTTGACTTGGTTGTATTTCCACGATATTTTCCAGGTATTAGTCTTTAGGAGTATTTTAGACTTTGACGTTGTATTCACGCTAAGAAACGAATTATAGAAATATGAAAATTGATAAGTTACCGGAAGCAATGCAATGGGTCCTGTTGGAAGAAATCTTTGCCAAGCAACGACGTTCTCCATGGGCTGAAATCGATTAACGATATGTGTTATAACTCAACAACTCATATATATCTTCTTAAACATGAGAAACAGCTGTATCTCTTGTTTTTTTTGTGTACGATATTACATATTTTCAAGAAAATTACCTCAGACAGCTTGACAGTCGCAACGATGCCTAATTGATTATACTGCCAGTTGAGATAAATCACACCCATCGCCTTCCTCACTAGGGAGTTAACGCCATCGGCACCCACCTGGAACGCATCAAAACGCTTTATTTATTCTGGCTCCTTGTGCTTGACGGTAATAACATTTTAAAAGTAAAATTACAAGCGTTGTTATAAGGAGAATTATTGAATTAGCACGAAGATAGTGCGAATAATTTGCGCGTTGCGACAGTCAAGCGCGTCGAAAATTTACAAGCATGTACGAAAATAACGTCAGTTCTGTTACAGATTTCAGTGGAGATCACATCAGAGATTATCTGCGCAGGATGGTTAACATCTTATACTAATTTCCCATCGTAAATGCTATTTCGTTTATACACAAATCTACAGACATGTCCGCAAAAAAATATTATTTACATTCTGATATACTTAACAGTCCAATATTTTAGAAAGTCGCATTCATAAAACTTCACAATTATTTAAAACGAATTATAATATTAATTATTTCCATCACAAAAAATAATGTACTTTTTATATTATATATTTATTTTCTTCAATCTGCTTATGTTTTCTTTATTTTCTTTGCAAATCGAAATAGTTGCGAGACGTCTGTAATCATCATTTGTGTTAAATTGTAATAAAAAAGCTGTTAAAATATACTTCTCAAATCTTAATTAAAAATTAATTGTAAGAAAAAGAAAGTATGTATCAGAATAATAATTTTGTCAAAGATATTGGTTGACACATCGACTGAATTCTGCTGAAAGTATTTACGCATGAAATGACCGGAGTTAATTGATAATACAATCATTTCCGACATCGTGCTGAGAAAGAATGATAGGGAAGGAGTTTGCGGTCGGGAATTTTTTTCTTTTCCTTCTTTGTCATTGAAACATGCCGGATTTACGCAAGGAGCGAGGGAGAACCGTGAGAGATTAATAGAAGCTAAATATATAACACTGTTTTATAAACACGTGTGGGTATCCTGAGATATACGGAGATCCGGAATATTCGAATAAGTGCTCAGTATTAGCGAGTGAGAGCTAGAGTTGAGAGATGATGAAGGCGCATTGAGAAAACTATCTATTCTACAATGTCAAGGCGACTGCTCATCAAACGACTGATCTAATGAGATTTTTTACTGATATTTATATTAATCATCTTGTTAATATTTGTTCGATTGAGAACATCATCGGCCTAATCGTGATAAATGTATCATTGTACGCATGGAAATGTGTGCTGTTATCATTGCGTAACCACAAGAATGACACTTAATTAATCAAGAGAAGAAACTTTCCATTCTTTATACTACATGATTACACTAACAAAATGTCTATAGTAATCATTCATGTGGAGTTAGACAAATTTCTTTAAGAATCTAAAGGAGGACATAATTATGACGAGTCTTGGTAAGAAGAATTTTTTTGAAAGACTCTCCTGCAGTCATTTAACGCGAGAGGCGCCGAGAATAGAAGCTACCAATAACGGAATGCCGTCTGTTGTGATCAGCAATAAGGTCAATAAAAAAAAATGTGATCAATTATCGATGATTTTCCGATGTTTCCTTAAAATTCTTAACGTTCGTGTGCCGAATTTAGGAAGAACTCGACGATATTTGGATGAGCGAGATTGACAGTGGTAGTATCTCCTCCGAGAACAGCTCGGATTCTGTCACCTGTCACATATCAACGCCGATGACGCAGGAGCAACTCTGGAGCAAAGAGGAAGTCGAAATAGCACTATCGAATCTTCCAGGAGGCGAAGCTGCTCTTTCCCTGATCCCTACTCTTCAAAATAACACTCTGCAAAAGACTTTGGAGGAATTCCAATGCTTGACTCTCAACGAAATTATGGACTGCAATCATCGAAAAATCACGCTGCCTACGTTTGCGAACGGGTAATGGCAATAATAGTTGCACATCTACAGTTCAATCTTACAGCGAGATAATAATAAGAAATAAGAATAAGTTTGTCCGCATTGACAGGTTTATGCGAAAGGCTGTACTAGATAGCGAAAATGGAGCAGCAGCTGCCGCGACTCCGGGTCAGTTACTTGCAGGATGGCCAGACACGTGTCTGTTGATTTCTAGTTGGTTGGGTCACGTGGAGATCGCCAAGGCTTTGCTAGACAAAGGCGCGCCAGTTTCTACAAGTGACTGCGATGGAAGGTATAATATACATATATGTATATAAAACTATAATTTGCGATGGACAGAATCACTGTCCAGAATCATGTTATTCATTATGTATCTCGAAAGTTATCTGATTCCACAGTGAACTACAAGATATCTCTAATCAATTGAACCTTATAGCTTCAACTAATTCTCAAAAACTTTATATCCTAGAACACCATTGCATCTGGCAGCTTGTGCCACGTCCGTAAAACTCGTGGAGGAGTTACTGAAGCACGGTGCTGATCCGTGCAAATGGGATCTCGGGAAGAAATGCACCCCGTTACATTGTGCTGCAGCGGCGAGTTGCGTCGCTACCATCAAATCCTTGATCAAATCAGGCGCAAATGTAGACGCTGGATTGTCCGGCAAAAGCCCGCTTCATTATGCCGTGTTAAACAACGCCGGAGATTGTGTCGAGGCTCTACTACAAGCAGGTGCTTGTCCCAATAATCCGCAGGTGCTCCTTTACCACGACCAATTCAAACATGAATTTGATGGGGAAGTGATGCCTAAACAGAAATCTTCTAAGAGAAATTTGATCTGATAAGTTGAAATTTGATAATATATGCAAAAAGTAACGTCTCATAAAATCTTTAACGTCGATTATGGATCAGATATTATTTTCCCATCAAATTAACGCGTCTCTTCGAGATTCAAGTGAAGATTTCTTCAGTGAATTAATATGATTGTTGACAGGTTTATACAGAGACACCTCTGCACGTGGCGACTGGCTTAGGCAATGTGCATTGCACCAAACTACTATTGAATCATGGAGCGGATGTGAGAGTGCAACTTGGAGTCGCAAGATCGACACCTCTGCATCTGGCAGCCGAAGAGGGGAGCGTGGAGTGTACTAAGTTGTTGCTGAATGCCGGTGCGACCTGGGAAGCAAAGAACTCGCGCGGTCAGACGGCGATGCATCTTGCAGCGCTTGCTCAATCTATAGAAACGTTAGATGTATTAATAAATGCCGGTGCGAAAGTCAACGAGGAGGACGACGATGGGCGAACTCCTCTACATGCTGCAGTTGCAAAAGCCTTGAGAAGTGGTGAACTGGTCAAGACTTTAATACAGGTTCGTAATTCGCTCATATATTATACTTCAAGAATAGTCACCTGAGATGTTTTTATACCCCAGTAACGAAAAAGTGTTGTAAAATATTATTTTGTCTAGATATATATGAATATTGTTTAATATATTTTCTTTCTAATTTCTTTTTATAATAACTATTTTCTACAAATTTAACATCTTAGGTGATCGTTCATGTTTAAAAAAAATCAGGTGGTTATTTTCAGGTTGAGGAAGATTTTTCTAATAACACAGAGATACAATAAGATTTTTTTTCCTTTAAAAGGCAGGTGCTTCGGTCAACAAGGCGGACAAATTCGGCTACACGCCATTGCACATCGCGGCCTTGAACGAGAGCTCGTCCACGGTGATGCTGCTACTGTCGAAAGGTGCTGATATGACGGCGCGCACCAAGGGTGGCGTTACAGCTCTTAGCTTTATTATACGTCGCACTCCAGATGTATTACCACTCTTTGTGGCACGCTTCGATCAGGCGATTTCGCTGCACGATCATGAACTGGGCGATGTAGACTGCGAGTTGCGACTGGACTTCCGGCCGTTGGTGCCAGGCGGTCGTGGTGAGACGGATCTGATGCTCTGCCTGGTAGAAGTTGGTCAGGGTCATGTGCTGAAGCATCCGTTGTGCGAGAGTTTCCTTTACCTCAAGTGGTTGCGTATCCGCAAGTTCTTCTTGCTCAGTTTGATGTTTCACTCGATCTTCGTTGCCCTCTTCACCGGTTACGTCGGAGCAACGTATCTCTGGCACGTGAAACGGCTCAGCAGTGTCCTTCTTTGGCCAGTACTGGGCTTCACCTGTGTGCTTGCGGGTAAGGAATTTTTTCAGGTCGCTCATGGTATCTACTGCTACGCCAAACGCTGGGAGAATTGGCTGCAGTGGACCGTGATCGTGGCATCCGGTATTATCCTGATTCCGTCAGCCTATACTTGGCAGCATCACGTTGCCGCTCTGGGTGTCTTGCTGGTTTGGATTGAGTTAATGATAGTGGTCGGTCGCTTTCCTATGTTCGGCATCTATGTACAGATGTTCACTCAAGTGTCCATCAACTTCTTTAAGTTTCTCGCAGCCTACATTTGCCTCATAATCGGCTTCTCCCTTGGCTTTAGCGTGCTACACAAAAACTACAAGTCCTTCGCTGATCCATTGGTCAGTCTGCTCAAGACGATGATCATGATGTCGGGCGAGCTCGAGTTCGAGGATGTTTTCTTTGACGAAAAAGCGCCGCTCCAATATCCTGGTACAGCCCACTTGATGCTTCTCAGTTTCGTTATTCTAGTGACAGTGATCCTGACGAATCTAATGGTCGGTCTAGCCGTATCGGATATTCAAGAACTGCGCAGATGCGCTGGCCTTGATAGACTAGTGCGCCGTGCCGAGCTAGTTGCTCATCTCGAAAATATGCTATTCTCCAAACTTCTGGATCGGGCTCCGGCATGGAGCATAATACAGGCATGCAGGAGAGGCGCTCTGCTATTACATCCACCGTATCATTGTGCCTTGCACATTCGGCCGAATGATCCGCGCGAAAAACGTTTACCGCGAGATCTCATCCGAGCGATATATCGCTTGGTCAGTGAGAGGAAAACGCGGCGGACAACATACAGAGGCAGTGTGCCACCGCTACCACGACATGCGAATGCCACAGTGGATTCGAGTCACACAAGGCTCAGTAGGATGTATAGCAACGAGAGCAACCAGCAGCAGTTAAATGAGCTGGCAGCCGAATTGAAGAGATGCTCGTACAACATCAGCACTAGGCTGGACAGTTTGACCAACAAAGTGGAAAGTATTGCTAAAGACTTGGACATGTCGCTTAACTAGGCTACGTTCGGAAATATCATTCAAGTGTCCCTGTATATTTTATTTTTGTTGTTCACCGAATGTTAAACAAGGATAAAATAATACATGGAACCACTCAGATGGTGTTTTGCAAACGTACCTCTATTGTCTCATTGAATATTTCGAAATGTTGAAAACAATGAAAAGATCACAAGAACAAGTATCTCAAAAAAAAAAATGAACTTAAGATAAAAGAGACATAAATTGTAAAAGGCCTAACAATGACAATAAAAATACGAATGTAACAAATCGCATATTTTTGATCATGATAATTTACATACACACACGCGCGCGCGCGCGCGCGCACACACACACACACACACACACACATATATATCCTTCGCAAATTATATACATTTAACATAACTTGGTGCTCACCAGTAACCTAGTCCTGTACTGCTCTCCAGACTGCAACTGTATAGTAACAAATTCCATTCCCGTCTTCAGAAGTTCTACATTGGCGACTTTAGAATTGTAAATCAAAGTAACATTTTCTTTTTCAAAAAGCTGCTTGTTGATCGCGTGTAATAACAGGTCATTCTCAATTACATAGGCTAATTCTTTGCACGACAAATCCTCATTGAATGTTATCACAGCATCAGAACATGCCTCCCATACCTATTAAAAAATTATATATAAATATATCATGGAAACTAATTTTATAAACCAGAAGAATATAAACTAACAAAAATCAAGACCCAAAGATTACGTTTTTAATCATAAAGTTTCCAGTGGAATAACTATTAGTTGCAATTTACCAAGATCAATTGTTACAAATAGAAACTGTTTTTATATTATTAATGTGAACTTAGTAAGTTTAATAATATATATACTAACAAGTAAGAAAAATAGAAAGATCTTATTTAATCTAAGCTAGAATTTTTAAGACCAAAAATTTTATGTATATAAATCGATGCACTATTTATAGAACTGGATGTATGTATATAAATTCACATTAAAATATTATTAAGCACTAGATTATTAAGATCTAAACCAAACAAGATCAGACTCAATAAGGCATTTTTCTCACTTGATTGTATTATTTACATACCAATCTAATGTCATTTATTGATTGCTTAAGAATATAATTCTAAAATAGTGAAACAGGAATTAAAAGGACTAGTTACCTGCATTTTTCGTACTGGAGAATATCGGACTGCCTCTATATGTTTCCATGCTCCTATGCTTGATAATAAAGTACGGGTTTGTTGATTCAACACAACAACTCGATTGGAGTATTGCTCCTGTGGTATATATTCCTGTTTAGCATTACCTTCTAAAAGTAAGATCTTCTTACCTGCTAATCTCCGATTGTTTGCTGAAATTAAACATGTACTTGCAAAACATGCTTCACATATCATAAATGTAGACAGTACAATAACAAAGCTAAGAAGAATAGGTATTTTGAGAGAAATATATTCAAAGTCTTTTGTCTCAACAAAATATTTTGAAAGAATTGCAACTCAATTAAACGCTAATGCTAATTTTGATACATATAGTATTTATATTATACATTTTATAGTAAATAAATTATTTTATTTTATTTTATTTTATTAACCAAAAAAAAAACATTTTTAAGAACAAAGTTAAATCTTTCAAAAATTTATCAGTTAAAAATGTAATAAAATAATTCTTGAGAAATCTTCAATTAAAAGAAAAATAGCTTAAGAAATTTTATGATAAATAATATAATCATTAAATATTTAATTTTACACTTAATTCATTCACATCTTACTTTTAAATATTTTATTAAAAACGTCTTATAATTAATTTTGTTAAGCTTCCAAATAAATGTTTCCCTTTCTCGAACATCTGTTTACAAATAATAGTGTTGATAAAAAGCTAACCTATGGCACATGCCAACGTTGTGCCGACCATGCCGCCTCCGGCGATGACGACATCATAGGTCTTTTCGTTTTCCGCGGTGGTCGAATAGCTCTTCTTCGAGACCACGGTCGCGCCGGGGATGACACGTTCGCAATTCCGCGACAACGACGCGAGGACGAGCCGGCACGTTGACATCGCTACCTTGATAGTCGCCATTTTACACTGACAATGAGTGCGACAGCGCGCGACTCGATCAACAGGAATGAGAAAGCAGGAAATAAAAAGTCTCTGTTTTTTTGCAAAATATGCGCAAACAGGCCGATTTGTTGTTCAATCATTCTTTGATTCTCATTATGTGGCGTCATTTAACCTTATCGCATGGTGATAAGGTTAATCGTGATATTTTTTTCACATTTTGTCTATGAAGTGTAGAAGATGATTTGTTTGAACTTGTATACAGATCGGAAATCGGTAAATGTATTTTCGAGAGATAAATGCCTATATTCAGGGATTAAAAGACTTCGACTCCAAAGAAGATTAATAAACAGAGAAAGCAGCTTTGCAACTGTTGTAAAATTCTTCAATGATTGATCTTGCCCTTAGTTCTTCATTGGATCTAAATGTATAAACCAATCATATTCAAGAATTTTACAACAATTGCAAAGCTGCTTTCTCTGCCGAACGCAGCCAATAAACTTCGATCTACAGCTAATTTCTTCTAATTAAAGATAATTAATTTTGAATTGAGAGAATTAAACTTTTCACTTATATATAGTTTTTAATTAGAAAATCTAAATCACAAAAAAATCCTGATCTAGGCTTAAATATGCTATGCAAAATATAATATAATTCCAGAGTAGAATTGAGATGGCAGGTATCACATATATTATAATCCAGAAAAAAAAATAGATTCTAATTATTCTCTTTGAATAAGCATTATAGTTATACAAATAGCTTTTCTTTCTGCATAATCGCAGAGATTTTGAACATGTATAAATTTTTCTGTATCATAAAAATTTAATCGTTCGCTCGAACAAAGTCCACGCTCGGAGGAATCAACGATTTCGCAGCATAATCATTTTTCACGTACGTTCAGCGGTAACATTCACGTTCAGACGAATCGATCGGATTGTTTTGCGCGCCATTTAATTCCGTAGAACTGGTTGCAGGGCGTTAGCACTTCCTCGCGAGCTTCACCATGGCGACGGCGACGCCAGGTCGGCGACGCCAGGTCGCATTGATCCCCCGTAGTAGGTACAGTAACGGCCGTTGCCAGTACATTGTTTGTATCCCAGTGTTGGAATCAGGATTTGGTCACAAATCACCTTCTTAGAATCAACCTGGACTCGTATTTGGCTGATTGCTCAGAGGATGAAGGTGATTAGTCACAAGAAACTCCACGAAAAATCTGGTGGAATCTTCTAACAAGAAAGAGTCGGCAAAATGTCTTTGATGACGATTAGAATAAAATAAAAGACACATTTGTAGGTAGAGCTTAAGACCTTAAGATAAATATATGTATATTAATCGTGTTGAATGATTTGAAATTTTATAACTTTTAACAAAATCGCACCTGCAATCGATTTAAAAATTTAACTGTTTGGTAATTAGGAAAGTTAATTTGATCTACTGCCTTCTTTATCTTATATTTTAATGTTTGCTGTGTCCAGTTATTAGTAATTTTTCCTGGAATATCTGTGTGTATCGTATATATATTATATATAATTAACTTATGCTGTAATTATAGGCAGTAGTTGTATGATTCTATTGTGTAATTATCTTTAATTGTGTTTTATATATATATATATGTATATAGCTGTGCCTTTGATAATATCTAAACCTCTTCACTACATATTTTAAATTTAATTTCAATTTATTTAATTAAGAAGTATTTTTTTCATCATTAAATTGTGAAAAGGACGGATACGTTAGAAAAATTATGAGATACTTATTATATTTAATAGAAAAAGTTTTTTTAATTATCTACCAATATTTACATATTTTGCAACAGTAAATTCATTAATATCTAAAATTTATTTTATCATTATTTATTTGTTACGGTAACTACACGCGTTACATAATATTTCGTAATAAATCAGTGAATCATGACGGAGCACAGAGGCACCTCCTTTTTCCACTCGTGCGTGAAGATGCCAGTGGATCCTTGTAGCCGGCAACCAACTCCTTCTTACGAACGTCCTCGGCTGTCATCCGGCAGCCGAAAATCAGAGAAAGTGAAGAAAATTAATTTTGCCGAGGGTGAACCGACTGCCGTCGAGAACTCGGAGTCGTCGAGTCCGCGCGACACCTTGGAAAATCTTCTGGAGTTCCTGAAGAGCATACCGGATTATGGACAAGTGCATCATTTGTCGAACGAGCAATTCAAGCAAAAGGTCGAATATCTAAGAAGGAAGCAGCGGTTGCTCCTGCAGAATCTGAGAAACTCGGTGGATGACACAGAGGAGCCGTCATCGCGTTTGTCAATTACGAGAAATGAGAGCTCAAAGTCAAAGGACATCAAATCGAACGTCGTCGTTGATGATCTCAAGTTGAATGGCAAGAAATGCTACCTCGAGGAGTCGAGAACCAGCAGCCCAATACTATTTCCATCTGGAAATTTTGCTGGTCTTGCCGAGGATCAAGATCTACTGACATATAGGTGATAATTTATAAGTTGTTAAGCGATGAGAGAGAGAGAGAGAGAGAGAAAGAAAGGAAGCTGATAAATAAAAATCTTAAATTACGAATGCATTGGAGAAATGATATATATATATATGTAATTATATCTATCTTTTATTGTCTCTATTGCTTTTATTTGTAAAACACGCTAATGTTGATTCCAGATGCAGAGACAAGGATAAGGAAATGAAGACAATGCACAACAAAGAGATACTCGCGGCCTATAAAAGCTGGAGCACGTGGAGCGAATCGAAAAGCGATGACAGCGTGAACAGCGATGGCGAGGATAGCATCGAGACAAAAAGTTTACCACCAAGTAGCTCGAAAGAATGGCACCCCACGGTGCCTAAACCGTTCAATTTCACGCTGAGGTACGTGAATATCACGCTAAGGATGAGATTCTTAAAAGATGTTTAAGAGCTTGCATTTAAAAATGCCTGCTTAATAGATGCATGTTTCAAATGTATATCTTTGCGTTGTTGGAATATTAACATAAAACTGTATTAGTTTTCATTATTAATCTAATTTTAGTAGACATTCAATCATCTTTTTTATCAAATTAAAAGCAATTTTTTATATCAATATAAAAGAAAAAATTATTTTATTAAATTATTATTAATGTGGATATTTATAAATTATTTTATTTTTTAAATTTGTAAAATGCCTTGAAATATTTTTAGGCTTTTCTATCATAATATATATATTTATATTAGAAGTATCTTTTTCTGTAATTAAATATTTTATACTACTCATTTCCTGTTTATATAATTGAAAAACATTTGATGTCCTTTTTCAGGGAAGAGGCGGAAAAATATATGACAGAGATAGAAACAGTCGAACGGGCGAATAAAGATAACGAGAAGAAAAGTCCTTCAAAAAAACGACGAGTCAGACCAATTCCTATTACATCCAAGATACCGCTTTATGACAAATTAATGGCTGAAAAAGAGGAAAGGTCGGCCATGTAGCACTTTTGACTTCATAAATGGATGTATAATACTATCTACTTTTTTTTATTTTCAATCAAATTTAGTATCGTATTTCTTCAATTCTGAAAGTTTCACTATACTTTTATATATTATTTTATTTTCTTAACTATAAGAGGTCTGTGAAAAATTGTAATTAATATTAAACCTCGATATAACGTGCATTTTTGGTGTTCAGAAGTCGTATTGTACGCGAGGAGAGCGCACTAAATCTATTGTCGCAAGTGCGACCTTTTAAGCTGGAGTGCGATCGTCGTGCCTGGCGATCCATGGCGAGGTCCAGTCCTGAACTCTGCTCGAGCAAGAGCGGTTCTTCGCGTTTCAAGGCTAAGCCAGTACCAAGAAACCTGTTCGGCACCGAGGTTTACGACCGTATGCTTGAGGACGAATACTATAGGTCAGCTTGTCGTTAATTGTCGAGTTCTTTCCATATTTTATTTTGGAAAAATTTAAGTGGACATTTTTATATACGCGTTTAATATCTATTAAAAAAAAATATGATACACAAGGACTCTCTCTTTTTAAAATATCAAAAACACCTAAATCTGGGTTAATGAGAGTCAGCGCGAACGGAGGTGCGCAATAAATCTTTTACAAATAATTTTGTTAATCCATACGATATGTTGATATCATCTTTATTTGAAATTTTGAATCTTGAACGTTTCGATTCTCTTTGGAATCTTCATCAGCAATCTTCCTAAATCATACTAGACTTCGCGTCTAGAATTCTTTGTAATTTAAAAAAGTGAATTTAATTATTAGAACTCGGCTTCCTGAAGGTATCTTAAACAACAAGATTATTTAAAGAGCTAAAAACTTTTTAAAATCTCTTGAGAATTAAAAACAATTAGATTCAGCATAGAGATTTATTTACATGATTCCAGACAGCTAAGAAAAAGGTTGAGGGCTGCGGAGATGTTGAAGTCTTCTTCGTTACCGCCGTCGATGGCGAGGCGTGAACGTGTCAAGTCCGCATGTGCACATTTTCAGGACGTGGAGCCCAACAAGGATGATGACGAATCTGTCATTCCGACTACGACGATGTCCGACAGAACCAGGTCCGCGCTGACGTCCGCATTGTCCTCGCGCGGAAATAACCTGGCTGCGATTTTGAGATGTCAAGCTTCACGGTACGGTCTATTTAATGAGAAAGACTGTGTAACCCAGAATCCCTCTATTTAATTATATTACTGAAAAGTTGATTTTAAAATACTAGAAATTCAGTTGAAGAAAGAAATAATAGTTGCGAGTCATAAAAAGTCGCTGTGGTATAGGATTTAATTTTATCTAAATACAAATAAAGGATAATTTTTAATTAGAGAGGAACTCACACGTATAAATGACGATCGAAAACTCATCACAGAGAGAAACTGGAGCACGAGATACGGGAACGGATGGAGGAGAAGCGGCGGGAACAGATACTGAAGTTCAGGGAGACGCTGATCGGCCGGAAACCCGCGTGGAAGGCCCTGAGATCGGCCGCGAGGTACGCACTGGATCTATAGATCTAAGCGTTCATCGATTTTTATGATCAGTTATTGATCTAATGTCGCGAAAACAAGGCACGAGCATGACAGAGACCTAGACATACGGACGTCTCTTCGTCGTGACGAGGCGCGGGAACAGGCCGAACGTCATCGACTGCAGATGGAGATGATGCTGGACCGAGTGACGCAAATACCGACTCTTTTCGAGCGTCATTCTCAGGTAATGTGAATTTCTTGTTATTTGCATGCGTCATCGTTATTAGATAATTGTAGTTATTGAATAATTTTACTTTCTAAGTAGAAACAAATATTTATCAATAACTGTTTTTTTTACGAAAAAAAAACGTATTTTAATACTTTATATATTTTATGCACCAATATATTTTATATAAAGCAAGATTAAAATAATAATGTAAATTCTTTAGGATACGTTCTAATAAAGTATTGTGTAAACTACGCTTTATACATGAATTTTGCAGAGTTTTCAGTCGCTCGTAAAGGCGCAACAGAAGGTTCCTTCGAAAAGCGCCCATACCCGAAAGAAGAAAAGGAAGAAAAAGAAACAACAGCATCAATCGAAAAGATCTACATCAAGTAGCTTGGACTCGTATTTAAGCTTTGCCAGCAATTCTAGACCAAATTCCGGATCATTCACCAGTTCTTCCGGTACTCTGATGTCAAGCCAATCATCGTCGAAGTCGTCGGGCGATTCCTCCGGCAAATCGGCAGCCAAGTCAGAAGCTTCGACACTGAAGAGAAAAGTCGATCGCGGTCCATTGAAGGTTTCGATTAACGAGACGGCGGAATGGATCGAGGATCGCAACGAAAAATTATCCAGTAGCGATGAGCGATCCCGCAGCGATGATGTCGAAGAATGAATTGAACCGATAATTCTTTTAATTATCGCGAAATTATTCTGAATGTCAGGTTCCTATATTTATATATTAATTACGATTAGAATATATTACGATAAATAGGTAAACCTTGACCAAGCTTTTCAGTTTAAAATTATCTGAAGAATAAGCTTTTTATTTATTCAGCTGTGTTATAATTGAACTGTATTTATAATCGTTTATAAGAATAATCTATAGTTAAGCTGATATCCCGACATATCAAGAACAGTTCAAAGTTGATCAAAAAATTAATTTTAAATTAAAACGATTGCGATAATTTTTCGGGAAATCCAGTTTATCGTAAATGATAGAAATACTTTTCGTAAAACTCGGGAAGCAAACAACAAACAACATCTTTTTTATAGAAAAATGATTTATTATATCGATCAATATATTATAAAGCGTAAAAACATGATAAGTTAACGTATAAATCATAATCACGCATCGGTTTAGCACATATATTCATTAGAGCGAGCAAAAAACTCTCTTCCTCTCTCTTTTTTGTTTTTTTTTCTTCTCGAAGATATTACACGCTTATCTCACATGCAACAAAATAGTGTAAAATATAATTTAAGTCGCAATCCCGAGAAAACTCCGTCTAATAGAATAAAGTTGTATCGACAGTAAGACTTTATTCTACTAAAAGGATAACAAAAGTTTTTAAAATTAACACTAATTATTTTTATTAATTAAAAACATCCACGAACGGTATTTTGCGAATCACCTTCCTAGACACCTAAACCGCCTGTTTCCACAAGCATTAAAGATGTTCCTTCTCTGCTGTAGTAATTTTACTCGTTTTGCCAATCTTTTGAAATCAATTTTATTTATCTACGTATTTATCGAACGCGCCAAATTTAATTCTTGCTAAATTCTCGTTCTTACCACGATGGGGATTATCGCGTTTGTGTCACCTCATTTCGAGTACGGAAATTAAAAGAATTCAATATGAAAGACTTCGTTCCGCAATGTTTCAGTCTCGCTTTATTCTGTCAGTGTGTTGAGAATCCAGTCCATGTAGTAGGCGACATTGGTGTAAACTCCGGGCAATCCCTCAGTACCGCACTGCTTCGATCCGTAACTGACCACGCCGTACTGGACGATGCGTATTGATCTACTATTGTATATACCAGCTGCTTGGAGAGGTCCACCGCTGTCACCCAAACAGGAGTCCACGTTCAATTGGCCGCCGGCACATAGCTGCTTGTACCAGATCTCTGTGATCCGCTTATATATTTCTTTACACTGTTCAATGGCCACTAGTGGTAGCTTCGCTTGCAGGAGATCCTGACTGCGCGGTCCCAACTCCGTCGCGCCCCAACCGGTCACTACAGCCTGCCAGTCAAAAGCAAAATTTCGAAATAGAAACGAAGTAGTGTTTACGAAAATCAAGAAATACATCCGAGTCGAAATTTTTAGAAGCGAAAATATTTATCGAAAAAGTTTGATGGACTGTAGTGATCCATTCAAAGAGATACAATTGTGAAATGTTTTAATTTATGAGAGAAAGAGAGAGAGAGAGAGAGAATATGAAAAACGTTATTTAAAAATTCCTTTTTCTATTTCTAGTATTAAATCAGTAGTAGATTTAACTAATTTGAACTAAAATAAATGTAACTTGTAAATCTTTTTGGCTGCTTCTTTTTTATTATTTCCTAATTATAAATGGAAGAATATTGATCATTCTCACCCTGTTATGATTTAGTGCTGTCGCAGTGCCATGAGGCAGACAAACGGGTTTGACATTCCGAGGTCTGAAATCCACTGTACTATTCAACCTAATAAGCGCGATGTCATTTTGCAGCTTTGTTCTTGTGTATTCCGGATGGAACTGGACGCTTTCCACACCGAAATCCTGATATCTCTCGGCACACACGACCTCAAGTCCTTTGTTATTCGTATCGCAGTCACGTTCCTTGCTTAAGTCGTGATCCCCTACCCTGACGCCTATTAGTCGTAGACCTGGAGAATAACAATTACATAAATTTATGCCAGTTATAAGAAACGCCATCGAGAACAACGAATGTTCTTAAGTATCTTTCAAACTTTATTTTTAAACTCAATCTTAAATTCCTTTTTAAGTTTAAAACTTAATTCTAATTTTTGCCATACTTATAGCAATATGACTTTATGACTTTTTCCTTACTCCCTGGGAGGAAAGTAACACAATGAGCGGCGGTGAGGACGTAGCGCGAGGAGATGATCGAGCCGCCACAACGGAATTCCGGATTTGGTCTTCCAGTATCGTATGCGATTAACGCCATCCATGGATACTGGAAAATTCCAGTCTTGTTGCCGCCGAATACCTTCGTCTGAGTGATGGGCCCACACAATGTATGATCCAACAGACGTAGATTCGGATGGTTCGTCACATCTGGTGGATTTGGAAGGTTTTCTGGATCTGGTGTCTCTGTCGTTGTTGTTGATGCCTATTACCAAAGATTAATATTTAATAGGAGCAAAATTGAAAAAACTGAAAACACTTAATGCATTTTTTTATGAAATCGAAAATTCAACAGTGTTATAATGACGAACAATACCAAGTTGTAGAGAGATTTATTATGTTCTGTAAACATGTGAAATGCGTTTTTGAATGGATATTAAAGATATTTAAAAATTGAGTATAAAAACTTTTATTGCTTTGTTTGGAAAAATGCATTTTTAATATTACATTTAAAATAAAGGAAGCTATAAAGCAACTTTGATTGTAATAAAATCTCTGATAATAATAAAATATCTGATTTTATTGTTATTCGATATAATAGAATATTTTGTAAATTTTAGATTTTATGAGTAAAGTTTCAGCCGATATCCTGCTAGTACAACAAGATCAGGATAAAACAGAAAGTCGAGGTCACAGAAACCTGTTTCAATATTATTTCAAAAGACTACTAAACGGTTTGCAACGACGATGCATCTCTATTACGTATAACAATGATGGCAGTATGCGATGTATGTACAATTTGATATATTTCATGATTATGTGGAAAATGATGAACAATCATCCGAAACGCATTAATCTGATGTCCTCGACGAGAACCAATAATCAATTTGCCAATAAATAATCTTTTAACTTTTTAAATAAATTTTTAAATAAATGTATTTAAAAAATTAACAAAGCATATATACGAAACAAATAGCGAAGCAAAATTATCAATGCAAGTTGTTATAATATATTCGCGAAAGATATATATTTATAATTCATAATTTATAATTTTTATTTTTTCGTTTATTTTTTAAGTAAGATTTAAATTATATTATAAATTTAATTCTCTTTATTAAATTAGAAATCATCCATTATATTTAGTTAACTTTATTAATTTAGATTTTAATAAATTAGTACTAAGTTAATATTATTGTAGATAAATTAATGCGTTTAGGTCAAATTCAATTACCTGACTGCAACAAACCTTCGGGTCGCTGCCTTCAAAGCCACATTGCAAATTTCTAAGAGTCTGCAATGTCTCCGCTGAAAGCGGTCTTGAACTTGTCAAGAGAGATATGACCTCCGGACATTTGCGAATGTTGACGCAATTAGCATCACCATTTGAACATTCATTTTCTGTAACGGTAAATTAATGTTTAATTTAATCAATTAATGTTTTTTAAGCAAAAATCTTCAAAACTTAAAATTCATTCTTATCCGAAGTTTAGAATAAATTCAGCATTTTGAACATACTATATATCGTAAATAATTTGGAATAACTTAAATATTTATTCTGAGAAAACACCTTGATGAACGTACGAAGAGAATCAAATAGGTGCATTTAATTGTAAATATATGTTAATTAACTGTGCTAAATGTGATATGACAATTCAAAATAAACGCATGAAAAAAAAATTAAGAAAAGATTTACTGTTAGAACTTTATTAAAGAAAAAATTAAAATTCTTTTTCAAGTGAAAGTGCTCAAATGCAACGAATTGACGTCGAATGGAGTACTCACGTGCATCGATTGCTGTTAAAGCGAGGAAAAAGACTAATAAGCTGATAGACATCATGTTTATTTGTGATATCAACATGTAACTCTTTGTCAATCTCGTTTTATAGGAATTTTCTTCTTTCCCTCCTTTTCTCTTATAGGTCAGATCGAGCGGGGATTTTCCTGTTTCGCTCTGATGATTCTCGTCGATTAACGTCCTTCGTTATATATAGATAGAAAGCTTGTACTTCGTTGGGAAATGCAATAATTCCACTTGTGGTTTACGTCGGCCTGACGTGTCAAGTTTGTACTCAAGCCGAGATGTACCATAGGTTAGATCAAAACCAGTACTGATCGGCTGGTCGCCAATCGACTAAGCTTCTCCACTACTTGCTGGGCCTATTAAATCTGCTGGTTCGGTGGGGATGATCATCGGTGATGATCCATTAGTCATGATTCGCTTCCAATTATAGCTTATCGCGGGACTCGTAAAGTGCTAGGAAAATCTGAAATGCGCGAATTTTCCATAAAAAAATTTCATTATCCTTTTGCGAAATCCTCACTTATTTGAATTAACAACTTTGAGGATGTTGATGTCAATATATATTCCATTCATGGAAATAATGTTACTGATAAGAATTTTACGGTACAGGTTTACAGAACTATTACAAAATTTTATTTTATACTGTTTTATTATCTGTTTACTTTAAAATTCCAATTTTTTAAAAATTAAAGCTTTCAATATTTAATCTCATACATTTACATTTTTAAAACTATACACATTTCAAAATCTCTTATTCTATCACTTACGTTTAAGAAATTGTGCAATTAATTTTGATCACTATATACATATATTTTTTTATCAACAATTTCCAAAATGGAATTATTCACAGTTCTAAAAAATCGTGAAAGTTGGATAAATAAACATATACATATTTGCTTCTCTCATCACTAATTGACGGCGTCAGCATAATTTCTTGGAAGGAACATAAGTTTAACCATTAAAATGAAAATGTAAACGATAAAATCAATATGCTTCTTCTAGGAAAGAAATTAATATCGCTTGTAAATAAAATTAAGATAAAGGCGAAGTGGCATTACAGGAATCTTTCCTGAAAGACATATGCGAAAGAAGATATAAGGAAAGAGAGGCTAAAATAAAAGGAAAAGAGAGAAAAGGTCGTTGGATACTGTAACTAATTAAAGATTATTTCGTTCATAAAATGGTAATTATAACGAATCTCGCTAGAAAAAGTAGATCGAAAATGAACGTCGTGACTTTTATAATCATTGGAAGTTTCCCGAGATAATATTGTTGCATTAAACTCATGCAGTAATGTTGTATGTTGTTCCGTTGAAATATATACAACTATTAGTCATCGGTTGACAGATGAGAAAAGTTACGATAAAATATCAGTACTTTTCTCCAAATCGACTATCAAAGCTGTTACTAGCTACGTATCTCTTTATCTCTTATTTGTTATTTCATTCAAATTTTTAAACACATTATCGTGATCTACTATGACCACAACAAAATGCGAAGATTCGTTCGCTCGTGATATTAAAGAAGCATTTATCTCTGGAAGACTAATACGTCAACGAATTAATGCTACATGATTAGCTGCAGCAATTAATCAACCACTGCATTCACAAGTATTATCCTCTCGTAATGCTCGGGAAGAAAATTCTAGGTTTGTCATTTTTCCTCAACGGAAATTTTTAATATTTATGATTTATTAATATTATTTTAATTACTTAATGAAATATTATAATTAACGAATTTAATTTTTTAGTACAGTGCGACGTCTTTGATTGTGCTTTTCAAAGTTGCACAGTATAAACTGTTACAGCGTAATAAGTCAGTCGATAGGTCATATTCCATAGTGACCCCACTTATTTGATAACTCCGAGAAATAAAGATATGAATATTGAATGATGTAATCATCAATCACATAGTTTTGCAATTTGATAATTCTCAATTTTATACAACATTTTCCTCAAAAGAAGGTGGAATTATCAGGAAATTGGTTTAGTTTTTTATATATTCGAAAAATGCGTAGTATTGCGATAAGTATTGCAAGTAATGTTGCAGTTTATTGATGGTTAATTGACGTTTCCCAGAAATATATATCTTATACAAGACATATCAAGGATACACATTATGATGATAAGAGTGATCTCATTATGAAAACATGGGGATAATACAACGAAAAGTAGCGTAATTTAAAAGAAATAACAACACTGTGAAAAAACTATTATAATTCAAATGCGAACGAATTATAAAAATAATGTTGACAAATTGATGTTGACATAATAAAAAGAAAATAAAGAGGAGAATAATAAGCCGCGCGCGCGCGCGCGCGCGAGAAAAGAAGATATAAATTATTAATTCAATATAGTTATGGAAAAATGCTAATTTGTCTTTATTAGTTATTAAAAACGTAAAACAATACATTTTTTACACATTGTCGTTCTTATGAGAAAATTTAATTTCTTTATGAATATTTATTTCTCTATCATTTATTGTCAATATCGTGGATTTTATTCTCGATTTATGTCACTTCGTATTTTAATAAAGCTCACTAAGAACATTTTATTGCTATAAAACGTGTCAATATAAATACAGGTAAAATAAATGAGCAATTAGTGTCACTTAACATACGTCACTTAATATCTTAATATTATTAAGTATGTTCATGGGCCTTTTATATATAGCAAACAGAAAGGAAACGTAATTATCATTTTTATAATGACAATTATAATTTTATCTTTTACCTTATTAATATATACAAATAAAACTTATTTATCATAAGTAAAAAATTTTTTGCCGCATTTTATTCATCAATTTCTTCAAAGAAACTTTGACAAAATTATTAATATATAACATCCTATTTTAACAACATGTAAATGAATCTTTACAAAATTAACTAATTCTACAAGATGCAACTCGGACTATAGAAATATATTGTTTCATATAATATATTTTAACTTCACAAATTTTTCAAAAAATCATTACTAAGACATAGTCAAGAGATAAATAACTTAATTTCTTCGTAAACGCGAAGAACATGTATCTCTGTTTGCGACCTCATATTGTTAGGAATTCATGGAACAAAGTTGACACTTGCGTATACACGCCAGGTCATCCCTATATGTTGCAGGGCGATGGTCCAAAATATTCAACGCTTACAGTAGTCCACTTCCCGGTACCATCGGTGATCCCTTCGACGGGTATCAGGAACCACCCGAATCACCCTGACACCAGTCTTGGTCTTTCTGACTACAGTCGATAGCCCAGCCAGACTTCAGCGCAGATGTAGGTTTGATCACACAAACTCTTATCCGTCAAGGGCAAGGCCAGCTTCAATTTAATATTCGAAGTCGAGCGGGTTTCCGTATTACCCCAACCGTTCACAAAGAACTTGCCGTCGAGCGATGAATTGGACGGCAGGCTTGATGTACCTCGTGAATGGCACGTCACGGCTGAGATGTAGTAACGCAATATCAGAACATTGATGCCGCGAAAGGGGCAGGTAATATTTATGAACGATTTGTTCTTCCACACCTACGATTATTGGATCATCGGTACACACCGGCACACTATTCTCACCGTCAGTCCGGCACGCAATTTGATCGGTGTCGGTGTCGTATTCGCCCAAGCGGACGTTGAATAAGTATCAGTTGATTGATAAATCCTTGCCCTTGATGCAGTGAGCGGCAGTAAGGACGTAGCGTTTACTTATTAAGAAACCGCCGCATGCTATCACTCTACCATTGGCTGCAATATTATTGAAAAGGAACTATATAAAGAAGTGAACTCTTAATAATATAATTTACATTTAATTATAAAATGAAATGTTTACATGATAAAATGAAAACATATTTAAGACTTTATGTATAATTAATTAATAATTAATTTATTTCTACACACGATGTTGATATTCCAGTAGCACCATCCAAGGAAACTCGTCGAGCTTGGTACGTTCAGCATCGATAATCTTCTGCGACGAGTCGGGCAGTCGTTCGGCAGCGATAGATTATTTGCCAGGTCTATCTGGAAATTTTCCAAATGCGGGAATTCCAAATTCCAGCCTGATGTAGTCCCACGGTTTGCCCACGACACCGCTTGGACGGTTGCCGATGCTCGCGCTTTTGACACAGCACTCCAAAGGATTTGCGCCTTTGAAATCGCAATGATTGCGTGTCAGCTAAATGATGGTCTGCTCCCGCGATTGCTGCAGAATGTTTGACACCAATGTATAGTCATGTGCGTTTATGCATATTTCCTCCTTGTCGACCGTACACTGATCTCTAAGACTTCGGTATTTAGCAAAAAATAAGAATGAGATGTCAGGATAAAAGAATATTAATAATAAGAAAACATAATTACATTATCTTTAATAGAATCACTGAGATATTTTTATTTTACATCCAATAAATTAATTTAATAGTTAATTTCCCCTTAATAACAATGTCGCGATTTTTTATTTGTCCAGTTTTCTGAATAAGAAATTTGTCGATATACTTATTACTCGTTTTGGGAACCTTTTGAAATCAATTTTATTTATCTACGTACTATTTATCGAACACCTCGCCAAATTTATTTTTTCATTCTCATCACAATTAAGATTACCGCGTTTGCGTCACCATATTCTAAGCACGGAAATTAAAAGTATTCGATATAAAAGACTTCGTTTCGCAATGTCTTAGTTTCGTTTTAATCTGTCAGTGTGTTGAGAATCCAGTCCATGTAGTAGGCGACATTGGTATAGACTCCAGGAAATCCCTCAGTGTCGCACTGATTCAGTCCGTAGCTGACCACACCGTACTGGATCATGCGTACACTTCTACCATTGTATATACCAATTGCCTGCAGAAGTCCGCCGCTATCGGCCAAACAGAAGTTCACGTCCTTTCGGCCGCTAGCACATAGCTGCTTGTACCAGATCTGCATGGTCGGCCTGTGCATTTCGTTACACTGTTCGTTGTTCACTAGTGTCAGCTTCATTTTCAGAGGTTCTTGATTGCGCGGACCCAACTCCGTCGTGCCCCAACCGATCACTAAAACCTGCGAATCAAAAGCAAAATTTCAAAATACAAACGAAGTAGTTTTTACGAAAATCAAGAGATATGTTTGAGTCAAAATTTTTTTAAGGGGTAGAAAATATTTTTCGAAAAAATTTGATGGACTATAGCATTAATTCGAAAATATACAATTATGAAATATTTCAATTTGTGAAAGAGGGAGAGAGAGAGAGAGAGAGAATGTGATAAACATTATTTAGAAATACCTTTTCTTAATTATAATATTAAATCAGTATAGCAGATTCAAATAATTTGAAGTAAAATATAAGTAACTCGTAAATCTTTTTGGCTGCTTCCTTTATTATTAATTCCTAATTATGAATGGAAGTATATTGATCATTCTCACTTTTTTGTGACGTAGTGTCGTCGCAGTGCCAAAAGGCAGACAAATGGGTTTGACGTTATGAGGTCTGAAATCCGCTGTACTATTCAATCTGATGAGCGCGATGTCATTTTGCAGCTTTGTTCTCGTGTATTCCGGATGGAACTGGACGCTTTCCACACCGAAATCCTGATACCTCTCGGCACACATGATCTCGAGTCCTGTGCGGTCCGTATAACAGTCACGTTTCTTGCTTATATCGTGATCCCCTACCCTGACACCTATCAGTCGTATACCTGGAGAATAACGATTACATAAATTTATGCCAGTCATAAGAAAAGCCATTGAGAACAACGGACGTTCTTCAGAATCTTTCAAATTTTATTTTTAAATTAAATTTTAAATTTCTTTTCAAGTTTACAACTTAAGTTTAATTTTTGTCATACTTATGTCAACATAACTTTATGGCTTTCTTCGTACCCGTTGGAAGGAAAGTGACACAATGAGCGGCGGTGAGGACGTAGCGAGAGTTGATGACTGTACCACCACAACGGAACTCCGGATCGGGCTTTCCAGTATCGTATGAGATTAATGCCATCCACGGGTGTTCAAAAATTTCAGTGTTGTTACTGCCGATAAACTTCGAAACAGTGATGGGCCCACACAATGTATGATTCAACAGACGTAGATTCGGATGGTTCGTCACATTTGGTGGATTTGGTGGATTTTCTAGATCTGAAGCCTCTGTCATTATTGTTGTCGGTGCCTATCACCAAAGATGTATAATTAAAAAGATTAATATTTAACATGAGAAAAATTGGAAAAACTGAAAAACACTTAAATTTAATGTATTTTTGTATGTAATCGGAAATTTAACAATGTTATAATGACGAACAATATCTAGTTAAAGAGAACTTTATTATTTTCTCAAATATACGGTCAAAAAATAAAAATAAAAAATATAAATATATTGTTTAGAACTTTATTATGTTCTGCAAATATATATATACATACACATGAAATCCGCATTTTTGAATGGATATTTAAAATATTTTAAAATTGACCGTAAAAACGTTTTCATTGCTTCGTTTGGAAAAGTATATTTCTAATATACACCTAAAATAAAAAAGTCAGACAATCATAAAGGAACTTTGATTGCAATAAAATCTCGGATAACAATAAAATACTAATTTTATTGTTACTGGGGGGATATAATAAAATATTTTATAAATTTCAGATTTTACGAGTAAAGCTTGAGTCAGTATCCCAATAGTACAACAAGATCAAAATAAAGCAGAAAGTCGAGTTTACAGAAATTTGTTTCAGAATTATTTGAAAAGATTATTAGACGGTTCGCAACAACGGTGCATTTTGCAACGTACAATTTGATATATTTCATGGAAAATGATGAACAATTCTTCGAAACGCATTAATCTGATGTCCTCGACGAAAACCAATAATCAATCTGCCAATAATCTTTTAACTTTTTGTATATGTATTTAAGTAATTAACAAAAAATAGAAACCAAATAGAGAAACAAAATTATTAATTCAAAATTGCTACAACATATTCGCCAAAGATATATATTTATTTATAATCATAATTTATAAAACATAATTCATAATTTTTTACTTATTCGTTTACTTTTGAAATTATCTTTAAATTATATTAAATTTAATTACATTTCTTAAATAAGAGATCATCGATTATATGTATTATGTGTTAGGTAACTTTAATTTAGATTTATTAATTTAGATTTTCGTAAATTAATTCTAACTTAACATTATTGTAGATAAACTAATGCGTTATATTCAATTACCTGGCTGCAACAAACTTTCGGGTCGCTGCCTTCGAAGCCACATTGCAAATTTCTAAGAGTCTGCAATGTCTCTGCTGAAAACGGTTTTGAATTTGTCAAGATAGACATGACCTCCGGACATTTGCGAATATTGACGCAATTAGCACCACCATTTGAACATTCATTCTCTGTAACAGTAAATTAAAAAAGCTTATAGAATAATAATAATAAGTTTTTTCCAAAAGCTGTGTTGAACTCAAGATAGATATGATTTTCAGACACTTGTGAATGTTGATGCAATTAGCATCACTTATTGAAATTGTAACACTTATTCTCTATTTAACGGTAAATTATTGCTCAATTTAATCAATTAACGTTTCTTAAGCAATAACCTTTTATACATACAATTCAGGTCTTATCGAAGTTTTTAGAATAAATCCTGCACTTTTAAATTACATATTGTAAATAATTTGAAATATCTTAAATAATATTTACCTGAAAAATCGCCTTGATGAATGTACGATTAGAATCAGATAGATGCATTTAATTGTTAATATATTTTAATGATATATGTTAATTAATTGTTCCAAATGTGTTCCTACGATTTAAAATAAGTGCATGACTTCAAAAAAATATCAAGAAAAGATTTACTGTTAAAACTACCTTAAAGAAAAAACTAGATATTCCTTTTCAAGTGAAAATGCTCAAATGCAACGAATTGACGTCTAATGAAGTACTTACGTGCATCGATTGCTGTTAAAGCGAGGAAAAAGACGAATAAGCCGATGGACGTCATGTTTATTTGTGGTATCAGCATGTAACTCTCTGCCAATCAATCTCGTTTAATAGGAATTCTCTTCTTTCTCTCTTTTTGTTTCTCTTACAGATCAGATCGAGCAGGGATTTGTTTCCTGTTTCGTTCCGATGATTCAGGTCGAAATGTACCAATGTACCACAAGTCAGATCAAAACCAGTACTGATCGGCTGATCGTCAATCAACTAAACTACTTGCTGAGCCTATTATATATATTGCTAAGCCTAAGGGTATATCCACACAAACTTACATAGCCGCATAAACATATACATAAAGAAAATTATCCAATTGCAGTTCTCTTTTAAAGTCGTACATAAAATGTGATTGGATAATTTTCTTTATGCATACGTTTATGCGGCTATGTAAGTTTGTGTGGATATACCTTTACTAAGCTATCTGCTGATTCGGTGGGGATGTTCGTTAATAATGATTTGTCATCATTATTCTTTTCCGATTTTAACTTAACGCGGGATCCGTAAAAAGCTGGGAAAATCCGGAGTTTGCTTTAAAAAATTTCACTGTTCTGTTATGAAGTCCTTACTTATACGAATTAACAGTTTTGGAGATGTTAATGTGAATGTACATTCATAGAAATAATACTGATAGGATTTTTACGATTTATATTAATAGAGTTATCATAAAATTTTATTTTTTACATTATATTATTTTCTTAATATTGCTGCGTGATCGAACTCTTGCGGGGATGTATGTTGTTTTGTTAAAATATGCAACTATTAATCATCAGTTTACGACAGATTACGACGAAATATCAGTACCTTTCTCCAAACTGACTACCACAGATGTTGCTCGCTACGTATTAAATTTTGTTTCTTATTTGTTATTTAATTTAACAAAACTTTTAAACATATTGTCGTAATCTATGATCGCAACAAAATGCGAATATTCCTTCGCCAGTGATATTGAAAAAGCATTTCTTTTTGGAAGATTAATATGTCAACGAATTAATGGCACATGATTAGCGGCAATTAACCAACTTCTGTAATTCTCCACTGTAATTCAAGTATTAATCTCTCATAGCTCAAGGAGAACATTTTCTGTTTGTCATTTTTCCTCAAAATAATATGGAAATTTTTAATATTTATGATTTATTAACGGTATCTCAATTAATTAATAAAGTATTTTAATTAATGAATTTTGTTTTTTAGTACACTCCTTGGTTGTGCTTTTCGAAGTTAGGATAAACTGTTACAATGTCATAAGTCAGTCATAGGTCATATTCCATAGTGACCCAGCTCGTTTTGATAACTCCAGAAAATAAAGATATAAATATTGAATGACGTAATCATTGATCACATAGTTTTACAATTCGACAATTCGTGATTTTACACTACGTTTTCTTCAGAAGAAGATGAAATTATCAGGAAATCGGTTTAGTTTTTTATATATTAGAAAAATGCGTAGTATTGCGATAAATATTGCAAATAATGTTGCAGTTTATTGATGGGTTAATTGGCGTTTCCTAGAAATATAAATTTAATAAAATACGCATCAAGGATTCACATTATGATGATAACAGTGATCTCTATAAATATACGAGAATAATACTAAAGAAAATAACGTAATTTAAAAAAAAGTAACACCGTTGTGAAAACCATTATAATTCGAATGCAAATGAATTATTCAACGATATTAGGACAATAAAAGAGAAAAAGGAGAATAATGCGCCGAAAAAAAAAGAAAAATGTGATTATTAATTCAATATAGTTAAAGAAGAATTTTAATTGGTCTTTATTATAAGTGTTATTACAAACGTAAAAAATACTTTTTTACACATTATCGTTCTTACAAGCTATATAACTGCTTTATGGATATTGATTTCCTTATTATTTTTTATCAATGTCGTGAATTTTATTCTAGATTTATTGCACTTTGTGTTTGAATAAAACTCGCTAAGAACATTTGTAAGTATTATTGCTATTAAACATGTCAATATAAATACAGATAAAACGAATGAGCAATTAATGTCACTTAACTACGTCACTTCACATGTTCATATTATTGAGTATATTTATGGGCCTTATATATATATATATATATATATATATATATATATATATATATATATATATATATATATATATATATATATATATATATATATATATATATATATATATATATATATATATATATATATATATATATATATATATATATATATATATATATATATATATATATATATATATATATATATATATATATATATATATATATATATATATATATATATATATATATATGTGTGGAAAACAAAAGGAGAGAAAGCAAAAAAAATTATTATTTTATAATGATAATCTCATCTTTTATCTTATTAATATATATAATTTATTTATCACAATTTAATTTTTTTTTCGCATTTTGTTCATCAACTTCTTTTTTATAAAATCATTTCCAAGCAATAGTCAAACGATATTTCACAAAATAATGTAGTGTCTCATTTATCGCCTCATATTGTTAAGAATCCAAGGAACGAAGTCTGACACTTTCGTATATACGCCAGGCCATCCCTGCATGCCGCAGGGCGATGGTCCAAAGGATACAACGCCTACAGCAGTCCATTTGCCGGTACCATTGGGGATCCTTTCGAGAGACATCAGGGGACCACCCGAATCACCTCGGCATGAGTCTTTGCCTTTCTGACCACCTGCACAGATCTGTCCTAGTCCCAGCCGAACTCCAGCGCTGGAGTAGGTTTGATCGCACTGGCTCTTCTCCGCCAAAGGCAAGGCCAACTTCAATTTAATATTCGAAGCCGAGCTGGTTTCCGTCTTGCCCCAACCGGCCACGATGAGCCTGCCACCGAGCGACGAACTGGACGGCAGGCAGATGGGCTGAACGTAACTTGTAAATTGCACGTCACGGCTGAGACGTAGTAATGCAATATCATAACGTTGATCCCGCGAAGTGGGCCGGTAATTTTCATGAGCGATTTGTTCTTCCACACCTACGGTTATTGGATCATCGGCACATATCTCAGTAGTCTCACTATCCGCCACGCAATCCCTCTCGGTGTCGGTGTTGTATTCGCCCAGGCGGACGCTGGACAGGCGCCAGGTGGTTGGTAAGTCCTTGCCCTTGACGCAATGAGCGGCAGTAAGGACATAGCGTTTACTTATTAAAACACCGCCGCATGCTGTCGTTCTACCATTTGCTATAATATCAAATTGAAAAGATATCGTATAAAAATAAAATATGTACTTTTAACAATATAATTTACATTGAATTATATTATAAGATTAACTGTTCACACACACACATATGATAAAATGATAACTCATTTAAGACTTTATATATCTATAATTAATTAATAATTTATTTATTTCTACTCACGTTTTTGATATTCCACCAGCGCCATCCAAGGAAATTCGTCCAGCTCAGCAATTTCGCCACCGATAATCCTCTGCGACAGATCGCGACCACAATCGTTCGACAGCAATGGATTATTTGTCAGGTCTACCTGGAAATTTTCGATAGGCGAAGAGGATGATTCCGAGTTCCTGTTTGGATTCAATGTAGGGTTCGTCACGACGCTTGGAGGGGTGCTGATACTCTCGCTGTTGACACAGCACACCAAAGGATTTGAGCCTTCGAAACCGCAATGATTGCGTCTCAGGTAGTTGATGGCCTGCTCCCGCGATTGCTGCAGAATGTTGGACACTAATGTACAGTCTCGTGCTTTTATGCATGTTCCCACCTGGCTGTCGACCGTACATTGATCTCCCGGGCTTCGGTATTCTGAGAAAAATAGGAATGAGACGTCAGGATAAAAGAATATTAATAAGAATAAGAAAACATAATATTATCTTTATTAGAACTACTGACAATGAGATATGTTTATTTTATATCCAATAAATTAATTTAAAGTTAATTTTCTTTTATAAAAAATATCGTGATCTTTTATTTAGTGATTTATGTCGAAAAGCTTTTTTGAGATGAAAGATAATAACTTTGCGTAATCGCACCGTTTTAATAATACATACAATGTTTTTTATTCTCGCTATTTGTCTAGAATTCAGAATGTCAAGAATTTCTAGTTTTCTGAACAGGAAACTGATCAATCATTTTTTTTCTAGATTATATAAGGATCCCTTTGTAGAATTTTCTTTCAGAATTCAATACTACAGATGATATCAGTATTATTTACACAAAAATAAATATATTATAATGGATTATTAATGATACACAATTACATTAATATATAATATAAATTATTGTATTAGATAATGAGAAATGTCTATAATTCAAAGATCCATCCAAGTATTACAACGCGCGAAATCGAACAAAGCTGATTCAATCGCCTTGACTATGCCTATTTCCTGATCCTCGACGTTAACCATTAATTCGGTGACGTAATGCCGCGTATACATACAATTCGAGAAAACCGACACCTAATTTTGTTTTTACGGAAGCGTGTCATATATTGATATATATATATATAT